TCTTGGATTGGTGTGAAACATGTTCAGGAAAAAGTGAGGTGGCCTTCCTGTAGCTTGTTGCAGTAGACAGGATGTGCACAGGCAACACTGACTGCTGCTTTCTGCAGGTTAAGTCAGACGTCTCTCACAGAGGCATGCTGTGAGGAGATCTCAGCAGTTTTCTGCACCCAGTCCTCCAGACTCAGACAAGTGGACCTGAACAACAACGACCTCAGAGACGCAGGGATGAAATGTCTTTCTGCTGGACTTCAGAGCTGCCACTGCTCTGTAGAAACCCTCAGGTAACAACCCAGCTGCAACCAAACCAAACATGGTTTACCAAGTGGTAAGACGTCCTGAAGCATCGGCAGACCACTGAGCTCTGCTGCCTCACCTGCATGGAGTCAGAGAAACTGAGTAAACTCAGTTACTGCCTGTGGTGGCTTTGCACTTTCTTTGCAGTGTTTCTGTAGCAAAGAAACACAGCAGTGAGACCCATGAGTGTCTGCAGGTTGTCGGGCTGCATGATCTCTGAGGATGGCTGCGTGTTCCTGGAGTCGGCGCTGAGGTCCAACCCGTCCGGTCTCAGAGAGCTGGACTTGAGCTACAATCACCCAGGAGACGCAGGAAAACGTCTTTCTGCTCGACTGGAGGATCCGCTCTGCAAGCTGCAAACTCTGCGGTCAGATTCAGGCAGTTTGATGCTTTTACTCTGAAAGAGTTGGGTTCATGGTCCCGAGGCGTCTGAGCTTTGGTTCCATTCCTGTTCAGTTTGGATCATTTCTTTAGTTTCACTGACTTCATTGTTTCCTTTACCGTTTGTCACTTTCAGGTTCTTTTCCTGAAGTCCCTGCTTCAACTCATGTCTGTTGCCCCTCTCTCTCCTAGCTGTGAGCGCCCCCTGTAGGCTGGGAGGGACCATGACATTATTTTCCTGTTGTAGACAGAAAAAGCAGCACGGCTTCATTTTCTATGCAGTTTTTCTCTGAAGCAACAATGACCTGCTAATGCAGGGGTCACCAACACGTCCAGGGCTGCCATCCTGCTCCAAAATGTCTGAATTCCCTCACCAGCATTCATTCCTCTCTGCAATAGGCTGGAAATGAGCAGTTTATTTGATCCAGGTGTGTTTGAGCAGAGACGCATCTAAAAGTTACAGGATGGCCCTGCAGGACTGGAGTTGGTGACCCCTGTGCTAATGAAAATTACGTAACACGGGGAAAGAACCCGGATTGTGACTGAGGTCGTGGCCCTAAAGCCAACTGGTAGACCAGTCAAATAATATCAGGTGGCCCAGGGTCTCCCAATTAACAATACCCAGGTAGGTCTGGCTTAGAATGATGAAACAGAAATAGTATACAATAAATTTTATTTATACATTCTTTTACAATATTAAAAATAGACTTTATTTAAAACCCAATAAAGCACAGGGACCCAGGACAAGACTAGAAACAATCTGAGACTAAAACAACTGCAAACCAAATTAATGACAAAATGTTAAACAACAAAAACAAATCCCACATTGCCTCCACCCAGTCCTATAAGGCTGTGGCCACATAAGCTAATTCATAAGAAAAATAAATTGAAACTATTCTGGTTCTGCACTGCTTGTGCTACAACTCCAGCTCTAGAAGACGACCTGTTAGCTGAGAGCATAATAACAGCAGCAATCTGTAACACCCAAAGAAGACAAAGTGTCTGCCGACAATAATAAATCCATGAAAAAGTTCCTTAATCAGCCACTGCAGTGAGAAACCACTGACATGCATCCTAATCACGTCAAACCAGCAGCACAAATAGCCACGATCCAGATCCAGCTGCTGCCTGTCTACACTAATGATCCCGACAAGGCTGGGAACGGAAGTGAAGGTGGGGGAACGGGGCCCGGATGTATTCAAGGGCCCCATAAAGGGTGGGAATTTACAGCCACTTTATGTAAACAATGTTTTCCTAGTAAAACCACCTGGTTACATGAGAAATGATGCATTCTCAGCCTGTTTCTCTGACCTGCAGCGCCATCTGCTGGTCTAAAATAAATATTTAGCTTAATGTTAAAAACTTCTGCAGACTTTTTGATCGTCTCTTTCTCCTCAGTCTTCCTGTCAGACCTCTGTGATGTTTCTCACCCTCCGTTATCACATATTATTTGAGAACAGATTTTTACTTTCTGATGTTTAAACCTTCAGATTGTCTCCTGCAGGCTGGATCACGGCGGAGAGCGCCGCCTGAAGCCCGGGCTGCAGAAATGTGAGTGTCAGTTCAGGAACCAAACTTTCTGCTGTCAGCACATTAAGCCAACTGGCCGCTTGTCTTCTAGATTTCTGTGAGCTGCTTCTGGATGGGAACACGGCTCACAGGCGGCTGCAGCTGTCCGCCGGCAGCCGCCAGGTGGCGCGGGTGAGCCATCAGCAGCCGTATCCGGATCACCCGCAGCGGTTCCACTTCTGCCAGCTGCTGTGCAGCGAGGCGCTGGCGGGCCGCTGCTACTGGGAGGCGGAGTGGCGGGGCACGGTGCACATCGCGGTGAGCTACGGGGGCATCCCACGGAGGGGAACCAGAGACCAGTGCCTGTTCGGGAGGAACCACCAGTCCTGGAGCCTCTGCTGCTCGGCGGTCGGCTACTCGGTGAGCCACCGGCGGCGGGACGCCGTCCTGTCCGCCTCCTGCGCCTCCAACAGGGTGGCGGTGTACGTGGACGTTCCCGCCGGCGTCCTGTCCTTCTACTGCGTCTCCTCCGACTCCCTGCTCCACCTCCACACCTTCAGCACCACCTTCACCGAGCCGCTCTACGCCGGGTTCGGGTTCTGGTTCGGCGGCTTTGGGCATTCAGTCGCTCTGCAGGACAGCCCGAAATAATAATGCAGATGTTTTACCAGAGTACATGAATGGGTCAGTTTATGGAAAATAAAAGTTCTGGCAGAAAATAATGTTTGTTTTTCATGACTGATTTTTTCCATCCTCAGATCATTTCCGTGGTTCATTAGTGGTAAAATCTGAAGTTATTGGGAAACTTTTCATATTAATCTGATTCAATGCTACTTCATTTATTCAGAGTTTTACAGTAAAACAAAAACACATAAAGGCTGGAGGCAGGATTTCCAGAAGATTATTCAGTTATAAATAACAAGTAACCAGGAAACGAGAAAATATCCAGAGCCGACAGAACATCCAACTTTTTATTATTTTATTAAAATCTGAGCTGATCCAGACCAGGACAGAAGCTGTTCTGCTGCTGGTTCTGCTGGTTCTGCCTTAGAGGAGGATGAAACCAGACGGCTGATCTGGGTTGTTCTGATGGTTCCTGTTGATCGTTTCGTAGCCGTCTTAGTTCAGCTGGAGCCTCAACTGGTGTTCCTCTGGGTCGGGCCTGGTTCTGGAGTCGGTTCCTCTGGGTCAGGCCTGGTTCCGGAGTCGGTTCCTCTGGGTCGGGCCTGGTTCCGAGGCCGGTTCCTCTGGGTCGGGCCTGGTTCCGGGGTCGGTTCCTCTGGGTCGGGCCTGGTTCCGGGGTCGGTTCCTCTGGGTCAGGGAGTCAGTTCCTCTGGGTCGGGCCTGGTTCCGAGGCCGGTTCCTCTGGGTCGGGGAGTCAGTTCCTCTGGGTCGGGCCTGGTTCCGGGGTCGGTTCCTCTGGGTCGGGCCTGGTTCCGGGGTCGGTTCCTCTGGGTCGGGGAGTCGGTTCCTCTGGGTCGGGCCTGGTTCCGGAGTCGGTTCCTGTCCTCTGGAAGCGGCTCGTTGTTCTTGCCAACCTGAGGGAACCGTGTTCCCCTCCATGATGTTGGTTCCAGTGGGTCCAGCTCACGGCCCCAGTTGGCCCGGTTGCCCCTGGTGATCGGGCTGATGGATAGTTAGAGACAGGTTCTGATCGGGTTCTGGTTGAACTTTACAGCAGATTGTACTGGATGAAGGCTGATGAAGGTGAGTTTGATGAGCCTTCATCAGAAACTGGATCTGTTTGGTGAATCAGAAACGTTTTAAAATCGTCCATCATGGTCCAATTTTTACATCAAAAAATATGAACACACATTTCTGATCTGGTGAATGTTTCTGAATGAATTCATGAATTTGTCTCTGCCAGCAAATTAGTTCAGAACATATGCTAAATGTTTAGTACTGAAGCTGAACAGAACCGCTCCTGGTTACTTCCTGCCAACTCCCTCTGACCGGACCTGCTCTGTTCCCAGCAGCAGATCTCTGAGAGGTCAGAGGTCAAAGTGTCCAGATCTCTGGGTGTTGCCTGATGGAGGCGTCACCAGGCTGCCTGTAGCTGCCGGCGGTTATCTGGCCACATGTGTGCGGGGTCCAGGGGCCGCCGGACGCCCCGGCCTGGCAAAGCCTTGTATGGCCATGACTGCAGGGAGACGGAGATAAGGACGCTGTGTGACCAGCAGCGGGCATTTCTGTTAAATTTAGAGCAGCTATCAGGCGCAGCTCTCCCTCCTGAACGCAGTCTGATCTCCTGGAGCGGCTGCATCAGGACCAAGGCGAGTAGCAGCTAACCCCTACCCACAGGGGACAAAACTCCTCATTCACTATGCTCAACCTGCAGCAGGAGACGCCGAGACACCATCAGCTGGAGCTGAACAGTTGGAGGTGGCTGAAGGCCATTGGAGACTGTTGGAGGCGGTTGGAGACTGTTGGAGGCGATTGGAGGTGGTTGGACACTGTCGGAGGCTGTTGGAGACTGTTGGAGGCTGTTGGACACTGTGGGAGGTGGTTGGAGACTGTTGGAGGTGGTTGGAGACTGTTGGAGGTGGTTGGAGACTGTTGGAGGTGGT